TGTGTATAGCAGCACAATTCACAATAGCTAAGCCATGGAGCCAACCTAGGTGCCCTTGGACAGAAGAATGGACAAAGAGGTTGTGATATATATACAATGGAATATTAGTCAACCATTAAGAAGAATGACTTTATGACATCTGCCAGTAAATGGATAGATTTGGAGACTCTCAGGCTAAAAAGAATAAGCCAAACTCAGAAACTCAAAGGTACAGTGTTTTCTCTYATATGTGGAAGCTGGAGTAAAATAAAGGGAAGGGGGAGGGAAGGATAGGATAATGTAAAGAACCCATCAAATAAATATCAATTAACAGACAAGCAAAAGGAAATATGGTGGAGGAGAGGAAGGAGAATGGGAGAGGGAGGAGAGGATGGGAGGGAAGTAGACAGGGAAAAGGGGGGATCCTGAACTGAAATGGATTCCCATGCATGTCTGAGCTTGTCGAGATGAACCCAGCTCCTATGTACAACTATAAAGCTCTAGTAAAAAGGCGGGAGGGTATCAAGAACAGGGCTGATTGCTGTGGACAATGAATGTGGACCAGACCAAGAAGGGGGCCACTGGAAYTGGAAAATAGGAGAGCATTTGGAAGCTTGGTCAGAGCAATTCCATGCAGTAGGTGGCARCTAAAACCAGAGGCCCTGAAGTYACCTTTGCRATTTGAGGTTTACAGTGTAGTGCCATTAGTGGAGAGAGCTGGGTCCCCATCACAGCAAGGGTGACGATGTGCTCATCGCTGTCCAACCTGGCCTGACACATAGTTCTACCCCACATGCCAGACTAGGAATTTCCAACCAACAACACTCCTTCCCAGCGCTGGGGATGGTCGTGTCCACTCATCCCAGGCCTAAGCAACGTGGGGGCTGGACTATTGGTCTGAAGGCTGTCAGAGGGTTCAGAAGACAAGAATAGGAAACGGCGGAGCCAGGTGGTGGTTGAGGACCCCCTTGGTGATCCCTCTGCCAATCTCTGACCACTCAACTTTGAGGRACCCCCGAGCTCAGGCCTTGGACTGGCTATTTAGGATCACACCACCCGTGTTTCAGTGTCACGAGGTTAGGCACTGACAGCCCCTGAAGGGTGTCTCCAGCCAGCCAGCTCCGTAACCCAAGCTCCCGACTCACCAGCCCAGCTGCCTGCCAGCCACACCCCACCGCAGGTCCTCAGACATCTCAAACCCGCAGCAGCCACAGCCTCCCAGGCACTCAGGYTAAAGTCCTCGGCATTTTCTTGACATCTGTTTATCTTGTATCCCACAACGGATCCACAGGGTAGTTCTGACTTCATTGGAAACATCACCAGAACTGGACTACCTCAGGTCACGCCTGCTGCTGTCATCCGGGTCTACGCATCCATCCTCTCATGTGGATGACCACGGTGGCCTTTTAACTGATCAGTTGCTCACCTGAAGATAGATTGCCTTTTCTTTTCTTTTTCATATAGTTGTTGAAATTTTTATTTTATTTTTTTAAATTTGTTCTCCTTGGTGGTACAGGACAGCAGAATGCATCTCAATTCATGGCACACAAATGGAGCACAGCATTTCAATTCTCTGGTTGTCCACGGTGGAGAGACGCACCATGTGTGCAATCATGCATGTACCTGGGGTAATGATGTCCATCTCATTCCACCATCTTTCCTGACCCCATAACCCGTCCCCACCCTCCCCTTGGCCCAATTCAAAGTTCCTCCATTCTCTCCATTCCCCTCCCCATATCATAGATCAGCATCTACTGATCAGAGAAAACATTTGGCCTTTAGTTTTGGGGAATTGGCTTACTTCCCTTTTCTTTTTCTTTCTTTCTTTCTTTTCTCTCTCCTTTTTTTTTTTTTTTTTTTTTTTTTTTTTTTTTTTTTGAGATGGAGTCTTGCCAAGTTTCTCCTGTTGGCCTCAAACTCCTGAGCTCCTCCTGCTTCAGCCTCCTGAGCTGGCATATGGATGATCTTGTTGGAATGCTAAGTCAGATCATGTCACTCCTCTGCTCAGTACCTTCCATGGCCCCCAGCCTCCCCAGCCTCCCCAGCCTCCTCAGCCTCCCCAGCCTCCCTAATGCTCACTTTGCTCTGGTCATCTGAGCCTCAGGCCTTTGAGGTCACCTTTGCCAGGAATTCTCTCTCCCATGTATCCATTTGGCTCCCTCCCTGCCCCCATCAAGGATGTTGCTCCAATCCCAGTGCGGCCCTCTCCCACGCCAGCCTCAGGGCTTCAGGCCTCCAACCCTGCACATTCTTCCCTTCGCTGCTGCCTGCCTCTACCCTCCACACACTCTGTGTTTGACTATTTATTTGGCAAGCAATCTCTCTCCCACACTAGAGGGTGGGTCTCAATTGGAGGATTGATTGGGGTCATTCCCCATGTATCCCCAGCACCCAGGATGAGCCCAACTGCACAAGTCTGTTGAATGAACACAGCGAACCTGCTCCAGGGGAGCTCTTCAGCCACCCAAAGTACCTTGTCCACTCGAGTGTTTTGTTTCTGGATCTTTCTGGACMGACATCCACCCCACATGCTCCCTTTCCAGCTCAGCCCCACGCCATCCATAGCTCCAGCTTCCCTGCAGGTGCTCCATGGGAGGGTGTGGGCGGTGAGCAAAAGGTAAGCCAGGAGCAAGCTTTCCCTCCAGCCAGGACAYTGTCACCCCTCCTGAGGTGACACACGGCACTACATGTGGTTTTGGTTATTTAAGCACGTATTTTAGATTTTTAAAGTCATTTCTGGAGCATATCAGAAACACTGGCCATCTTTCCCCCAGTGCATGAAATCCTCTTCCCAAAGACCAACCCCAGTGGGAAGTTACACGCAGTAGTAGACAGAGAAGAAGAAAGGGAGGTGGAACAAGTTCTCYGGGCCACGTGGAGGAGCAGGCCTGGAGCCCTGGGATGCAGGAACAGGACACGCAGGCTGTGAACCGGTGTCTKCGAAAACGATCCCAGAGGCAGAAAGGCAGAGGGATAGTCCAGGCACTTCACCTGACCCGTGGACAAAGCTCACCTCCTTCACTCCAGGGGACAGTCTTCATTCTTCCACTCCAAGATCTCAAGTTTATTCTGCGCTGTTGACCAGTAACCACAGTCACACCATTTGCATTTATTGAATTTAGAAACTGAGGCTCCACCAAACATTTGAACYCAATTTTAAGCTTTTGGAAGGACAAAGAGAAATGCATTGTGCCAGGAAATCAGTGTCCCCCGCCCCCCTCCCCCCCCAGGCCCCAAGTGCACGACTGTTTCCAGCAACATCCCAGTTACATTTCAGGCAAGTCCTTCCCCCGACATTCACCGGATCTTTTATTTTTTGAAAGATGAAATTTAAAAAAAAAATTTTTTTAGTTAATAGCTATAATGTCACTAACGTACTCAAACATTTCTCCCAGTTTTGTCTTGATATCTTATTAGTATTTGGATTTTGGGTTTCACCTGATCTTTAATTAGCAAAAAAGCTTTAACATCAAAGTAGGCCTCATTCCTCAGTGTCCCTGTAGCCCTGTGCCCTGCCTACCAAATAAATACAAATTTAAATACAGAGTCAGCAAGGGATTGGGTTACTCGTGCCTTCCCTGCCCATTAAAGCCAAACCTCGGAGGTGGGACATGAAGCAGAACCAACCCCTGATTTTCAATCAGTTCTTTAGATTGAAAGGGCGGGGGGAAATTGGGGTTAAAAACAAGGTTTTCATGGGGTGCAAACAGCTAACTTCAGCATGGCCTGCTTCCCGGATGCCCTGATGGAGTCGTGCAGAGTTGTTCCTTCGATTTCCAGGACCCTGGCAGCTCTGCCAGTTTCCCGTCATCTCCTGGACGTAGCATGTGATGATATAAATATGCTCTGGGTGTATAAGGGCCCATTCTCTTTCGGTCTGTGGGACGAGGCCAGCACGCTTGGCTCTCTGCTAGAAAAGGGAGACCCTCTGAATAATTGCATGGACGTTCTTATGAAGAAGCCCAAAGAAGTTGGTGACTTCCTGACTTCTCAACTTCACAGCTGTGAGGGAGCAATGAAAGTTCTGGAGTCAGTGTCTTTTCCAGTGGAATAGGCACCCAGGACTCGGGGGGGTGACTGGCAAATTCAATCATCCCTATTAAACAAAAGCTGGATGTAGGTTGAACATCTCTAGTCCAAACTTCTGAGATGCTCCAATAATCAAACCCTTTTTGAGAGGCAACCTGATGCTCTGTCTTGGATGTGGAGCATTTTGGATTTCAGAGTTTTAGATTAGGGATGTTCACTGGTAAATGCTGCACGGTTATTCCCAAATCGGAACAATATGCAATCTGATCACTTCTGGGGGCAGGCATTTGGTTGGGGTAAGGGTTCCCCAACCTGTATTTATTTTGAGGGGGACTCTCTGCTGGCGACACTGAGCACCAACTTTGACAAGGGCACTCAGGTGTGACAATGGAACCCCAGGGGGCAGTGGGTTGGAGGGGGCCCAGCCCTCTGGCCAGGGCAGTGTCCAGGCATGATTAGGACAAGCAAGAAGTGGTGGGACACCCCAGCCATGGGATTCTGGGGCAGAATGCTCCTTYCCAGGCCTGTGGGCAGCTGGAGACCCTCTCAGGGGTTCTTACCCCCTGTTCTTGGGTAGCCAAGCCCCACACAGCTGGGGACAGCTTCCTAGRGTGACCTCGACTGGCAGGGGTAAGATGAAAATTCACCCTCACTGGGCTTCTCCCTACCATGCATGGAAACAAGGGTCCAGGGAAAATCCTCCCTGACCCTTTGGAACCAGAGAGGGAAAAAGGAACCCCCAGGTGCCGCTTATCTTCCACCTTTTCTCTCCTGGAGTTTCACCCCTCTACTTTGGCAGGACCAAGTTCATCTATTTCCCATGGATGAACTTCCTTGACCATTGACAACTGACTGTCAATCAAGTCAACGGGCAGATGGACATTCACATATGTTATGATCTCACCTGGAGAGATATTCCCAAGGGTGACCCTGAGATTTCCAAACACAGGTCTGACTCATGTGGATGTCCACAATCATCCATTTTATTTGAAGATGTGTCTACACTGCCTTGAACACCAACACAGGTGTGACCAAGAAACCCACAGCCCTGGCCCAGCAGGCATGGGGTCCAGTGTGTGACTGGGAAGGATTGTTGTTTTTCACAGTCAAGGAGGCATGGGGAGAAAGAAAGAATAGGAGAGAAGAAATGGGCATTATTCCTAACCCCTGTTCAGGAATCTGAATGCTGAAACCGAAAGCCATGTACACTCTGAAGGCTCCTCTCAATTCCCCCTCTCAGTCAGCTGATGTTCAAGTGCAGAACCTGGTGGGCCAGCTGGCTTGGGGAGCACACGGATGCACTGTTTAAAATAACATCCACACAGGACTGCAAAAACTGGGCGGAATGGGCTGTGCTTCCAACCGATTGTTTACTTTTTCCTGTTTTATGAACTCTTCCGAGCTTATAGGACATCAGGATTGCACAACCCCAATCGTGAAAGAGCATCTGGTCAGAATGAAAACCTCTGGTGTAGGCAAAAGAATTCAGTGTATTTTTGAGAAGAGAAGCAGTGAGCATGATGGTATTCCTTTATTTTGATGCTTTCAACATGACCCTCTTGAAAGGTGTGCTGTGTCATAAAAACCGAATATCTTCAGATCTTTAAATCCAGATGTTCTTTTAAAAAAAAATCAGTATTGTACAAGATTATGTCTTGCTCTTCCCAACTTTCCTTGGAGGCAGAAAGCAAATGTTAAAAAACTGGAGGGTTTTACTTCCCATGTCAGAGGCACACCCAGGGCTTCTTTCGGCTTGGGGACCAGGCTTGGTTCTTGGTTTCTAGAATGGCTGAGCCTCTGGCACCACGGAGCACTTAGCAGTTTCCTCCACATCTGGGGCTGAGATCTCCATGCTCAGAACAAAGCAGCCAATCTGGAGGGTTTGGTCCTAGGGAAGAGGGAAGGCTGCCCTGGACTCTGGTTCCCYGTGTCTGAGGGAAGCGGAGGGGCCGGGTGGGTCCAAACCACRGCATCGTGGTTTGGCTTGGAAGATGCGTGGGGAGCTTATGAGAAGCCCAGTACCAAATACAGACTTCCTGCTGGTAATCTAAAGTGATGGCTTTGAAATGTTTATCTGGACCTTCTAAAGGCCGTTGCTTGATCACATCTTATCCAAGTTTGGACTCTCTGCTTGATTATTCATACCCCATGAGCCTGTRAAAACCAGGCCGTGCTGGTGGGCAATGTGCACATTTCAACAGATCAGCAACTGCAAAATGCCGGTGCCACTTACYGGCGGAGCACTGGACCTAAGGACTCAGCGGACATAAACACTCCCAGATTCCTTTGCATTTTAACCATAACAGAGAACGACGGGACACCTCCAGCACCCACTGGGTGATACTGTCTCAGTTACAGATCAGGTCACCTAGTTGTGTGTTCCCTTTTCTGTGCATTTTGTCCTTTCAAATGATCTTGTATAAAGCTTGTATTTAAAATGTTTTTCAAAAGGTAAATGCTTAGAGGAGCCACATCTTGTGAATCATCCTTCTTGTGCTTCCTTTTGGCAAGTGGAGGGATCGCCGTGGATTTTGACTGGGGTGGGCCAGCCTTCCATGGGTCATCTTCTCCCGTGAGCTCGGGAATGGGAATGAGGGGAGTCAGAGGCTCTTCTTCAACACTTTGAGGGAACGGCAGGAGGCAGGATCCTTCAGCTCATTAGGGTCTGTGAAAATAGAGGGGGAATTGCTTCTTTTACTGGCACCTAGTTCTCTAAGTCTCTCCCCTGTGGAACCTTCTCGTCTCCCCGCTCCTTCCTCCTCCATACCTAGTCCTCACATAGCCAGAGTCAACCTCCARGCCTTTCCAAACTTGCTACAGCTCTAGCTGCATGGCCGGCCTCAGTTCCCAACCCCCAGCTGTACACGGCCCCCTCCCCTTCCCCCTCCTCCTTTCCCATCTCCCCAACAAGAAGTAAGAAAAGGTTTTCCTTCCGCCATGAACTTGAATATCTTGAATTCTTAGGGAAGTTTCTTTAGGAGCAAGAAGGCCTTCCCCTCATGGATCATCTGCCTAAGGGTATGTGATGGTCGTGTGTGGAGGCTTGCAGAGCAGGAGGGAAAGGAGGGATCTAAGTAAAAAAGACCCTGTCACCAGTGGGATTCCACGTCACAATGGGAGCTTTGGCTCTGTGACAGGTGATTCTTCAGAAACCACCTTCCCCAGATGGCTAGTGGCAGGGGGATTAGGTCTCAAGTTAAAACTTGGTTTGAATTTTTTTTTTTTCTTCTCAAGTTCAATTAGTTGGAAAATTAAGACAAGGACCCAAATTTTGTCAGATCTCAGCAGAAGTCAATGTAAGCGTCATATCTGGCCTAAGTAGATATTTGCTCTTCTGCAGAAATTTCAGACAGTACTCGAGGAGGTGACGGGCTTTTGAACATGACCTTCGCCAAGAGGTTTCTATTAGTTGGCAGGTTTGAGTCCTGAACTCTACGGCGCCCATCCACCCACCACGGGGGTGTGAGTACTTACGAGTACCCTCCYGACATTTTCCGCACAACCACAAAGATGATCCATCCGATGAAACCGATGGCCAGTAAGACCCCGACGATGATTCCCACCAGGGTCACTGTGGCCAAGCCATCTGCACAGGAGGGGAAGAAAAGCATAAGCCGCAGGTAAGAAATACACCTGTGGCACCACGTGTCACACATAACAAGGCCACTGTCCTGCTCTACACAGTAAATATGAGTGGAGAAGTGTTGGGCTCTTTTCCTGTTCAGTACTAGAGAAGGAACCCAGGGCTTACACAAACTAGCCAGGCACGGACCCTGAGCTACGCCCCAGCCCTGCTCTCTCTACTCAAATCTCATCTTAAATGAAAAGACTTTTTTGGGGGTCTCAGGAACTATTGTGCATAACAGATGGACCTCACCTAATGGGTGGTGTTTTTATACGGCCTGTCAAMTGGCTTCTACTTTGATTCCTAGTGACACCAAATTGGAGTAGAATATCATTCCTGCAGCATCTTTAAGTGAGTCGTTCACTTCTTTTCTTTTTCTCCCCCTTTTCTTCCCTCTCCTTTTTTTTTTTTTTTTTTTACAGTGCTAGGTGAGGATGGAAGTCATGGGTTATGGGTCATAGCGGAAGGCGGATTGTTCTACCAAGGTGCACACTAATGTTCTACCAAGGCGCTGCAGCCCCAGTCCTACTTCTTTTCAAGTAAAGGGAATTCTCTGTACTTGCTTTTTTAAAAAAAAAAAAAAAAAAAAAAAAATATATATATATATATATATATATATATATATATGAATGAAAACTATTCTCAGAAGCTTTTCTCTTCTGCTCTTGTTGCATATAATCCAGGAAAAATATGCAACTCATCAAAAAAAATCAGGTTTAAAGAAACTGTCTTCCACGCCCACAGGCATATTCTGAACTTGTGGTCTTGCCTACCTTTCTCGACTGTTGTTTCTGTCTCTTCAGCTACTTTCTCTGTAAAGGGAAAGATGTAGTGATAGAGAATTATCAGGATTTAATAATTATAATTTAACAATTGTCAAAAGATATACAATGTAACAAAACATGCAAAGAGGATAATTTCTTAGATAAATTGGTTGGGTTTTAAGCAAGCGCTGACATGAAACGGTCTTGGTGCCTATCATTATCAAAATCACGAATGCTTCTTCACATCTATGGGTTCACAGCATCTCTGTATACAAGACTTGTTTTCTCATCCAATTGAGAAAGCAGAGTCAAGGACACTAAGCCACAGAGACATGAAATAAATGGTCAAAAAGTTTCAGAGACTACGGTGGCGAAAGAATCCACAGCTGTGGRTACTTAGTCCAATATTGAGATCATGGAAAACTTACAGACTGTGCCCAGGGCTATTGCTCACTTGGAGAGTAATACTCTMATCTGGGAAGAGGTGACAGGGCTGTGATTCCTCTCATGCCATCTATTCCCTGCTTGGGTTGCCAAATCCAGATTTCACAAGGCAGCAGCATGCCTAGCCGAGTTTCACCTGTTCATGCCACTGAGTTACGTTTAGATTTCTATCAGCACTCAGATCTACTCTAGAACTTACAATATGAATATTCTCCATTGTGAGTCTCTTCYAGATAGTTCTACACAGTTCCTAATTTAAAACAAAAGTGTTTCCCTTGTTTCTCCATTGTATACTGAGTCTGTAACTCACAATTGGCCCCTAAAGTGTTGCTGGGAGCAGTCTTGAAGGACTGAGCCCYCAACCTATGGGATCTGATGCTATCTTCAGGTAGATAATGTCAGAACTGAATTGGATTAGAGGATGCCCAGCTGACGTCCATGGGCAGAATGGGTTGTTTCTGTTGGCGGGGGGAGGGGTTTGCATTTGATGTTAGAGGTGATCTGTGTTGGGAGGAGGAGAGTCTTGAGTTTGAATTTAGGGTTGGTTTTTCCCAACACACTAGCCAAACCATCATCTAAAAGATGCTTACTTTCACCAGTTGGTTGGCTTTGAAATAATCCACTCACTTTGTATCAAGAGTCTCCTCAAAATAAGAGACCTTTTCAAGATGGCCCCAGGGTAGTTCCCCAGACCCAGGTCTCCCTGCGTGAGCTGATCCCATGGCTCTGGGACACTTATGCAGAGTGTATGTTGAGCATTCTACCCTCAGACAATGGGGAGGRGACTGTTGGGTTTGAGCCTCCCAGAGCAGAGGGTAATGGAATCAAACTGTCATCCTGGGTAGCCAGCTGCAGCAGGGATAGCTCAGTCTTTGCTTATCACGTCCTAGCCTGGTGGCTACTGATTCTAGGCTCAAAACACACGGTTATCATCATCGAAGGCACTCTGGGTTAGAAAATGCTTTACTGAAGATAAAGTTGATGCAAGATTCTGCTAATTGAGAGCTTTTAGTTCTGTATTCCCCAGTCCCTCCCAATGATGCTGTCCGTGATCACGAGCAGGTGTCATGCATGGGAACATCATTGTACTTGGGCACTCCCTGGGAAAACAGGCCATCTGCTGCCCTAATAAAATCACCTCTTAAAATCCAGTTCTCAGAATGACAGTTTTAACTCTTATGGGAAATATCTCAGGATAATGAGGCTCWGAGTGGGATTGAGTATGTAACAGAAATCTCCTTCCCTTTTAAGGCTGAATAATATTCTGTTGCACATATGTACTATTTTTATTTATCCACTCATTCGTCCATGGACACTTGGTTGCTTCCATATTTTAGCTATTGTGGRTCCTGCTTGCTATGAACATGGGAGYACAAGATTAAAAGCATTTTTTAAGTCCTCAGATGTGCTATAGAGTTTAAAAACCAGATTGGCATCTGACCCAGAATTGTTTATTGAAGGATAATATACTTGGGGGCAGTGGTGTATGCCTGTGGTCCCAGTTAYTGGAGATGCTGACACAAGAGGATTTTGAGTTCAAGGCTAGCCTTAGAGACCCCAGCTCAAAGAAAAAAATACAAAAATGTTCCTTGCTGATGGGGATATAGCTCCATGGTAGAGCATTTGTCTAGCACCCACAAGGCCCTGGGTTCAATGCCCAGCATTACACACACACACTCTCTCACACACATACAGACTGACTTTCTGGTTGTTTAAATGTGTAGTTGGTTTGGGGAATTAGTTTGGGRGAACCACTGCTTCAAGCATGGTCTTTACACTGGCTTTTCATCTTAAAGACAGAAACATAAAATCTAATTAGATGAAACAATTTATATAAAACTTCTCCAGTTAGCAAGCACTCCTTGGAGTTACTTGAAGATTTGCTCTTTTTCTCTCCTGCTACAAAATAAGGTACATTTGAAAACAAAAAAAATCTCAAATAGCTGGATTTCTTTTAAGAAATCTCTGGAARTAGGAATGAACCCATCCATTGCTGAGCATGACCTTCTCTCATGCTCACCAGCAAAGGTCTAATTCTCAGGATAATGGTAATGACCCCAAAGCCCCCTCCAAAGCTTCTCCATTTGCAGTGTGCTAACCACGAATCACAAATACAACCCCAGATCCTGATCCGTCTGATGTAGAAGATCCTTGCTCCACATATGCAGACATGAACTTCATGTGAGATGGTCAGTGTTAGTGTAGAATCTATCAAGATTTACTTAGGCTGGCCGAGTTTCCTGCCGTTGATAGCATGAAGTTCTTGGTGCAGGGTCAGGAGCTGCTTAACTTGCCCTGGCAGGGGCCATATCACTAGCTGTCATTCAAGGTAGAGATAGATTTCCAGCAACCTGATAGTTCAAATTTGATTTGGCAACTCATAAATTGAATTCTGTATACACAAAGCTTGGTTCAGAACTCACTCTTTCTTTCTTTCTTCTTCTTTTTAAAATTTTTTAAAAATTTTTATTTTTTAGGTCCTGGGGATTGAACCCAGGGGTATTTTCCACTGAGCTACACCCCCAGCCCTTTTTATTTTTTTATTTTGAGACAGGGACTTGCTAAGTTGCTGAGCTGGCCTCAAACTTGTAATCCTCCTGACTCAGCCTCCCTTGTTGCTGGGAGTAGAAGAGCGCATCGTGGTGCCCACTCTTGCATTATACACACATTCCCCTGTTATTACATTTGATCATGGACTTTTGGAAGGTGTGGGCAAAAGCAGGTCCACCCCTACTGGGGTGACGGGTCTCCTTACCTTTGGAGCGGCTGGTTGCTACATCCGGGACTGTGGTGCTATGGCTTTCTTCGTGGGTGTGGACTGAGCCTTCTTGGGTGGGCAGATCCTCAATGGGAACATGTGTTCTACTCTCTGCGTTTGTAGGCGCCTATTAGACATGAAAATGAGGCAAAATAGAAAATAAAGCCTAATGTTTTAAAGTGCATACGGCAGARAAGGGTTACAACAGAAAGGGGTTTAAGGTGGCATAAATATACACAAGACACGATGGCACAAATTCCAAGTGGATCCAAGCAACCAAAACAAGAAGGGTGGGAACAGGAATAAAACCAGGTCTCCTCCAAGAACGGATTCCAAATGTTCGACATGCTGACTTGCTGGTGGCTAATTTCTTCCAAAAACCCACCAGACCACAAAGCTTTAATACTTGCTTTTCCATAAACCCGAGTAGCACTTTTTCCYTGTAACCTGTATTGGGCACACACCTGAATCATCCTTCACCTCCTCCCTCCCCTAGTGAGAGTGACCACTAGCCATTGCTGGGAGCTTACATGGCCCCCGGCGCTTTAAGTGGTTTCTCACTTACTCCACACACGACCTTGGGAAATGATCCTACTATTAGTCCTATTGTACGAACAAAGCTTAGAACGATTTGACAATATGCCCAAACTCGTGTCACCCTGTAAACGACAGGGCAGGACWTGAGTAGTGCTGGGTTAATGGTGTACTACAGAGAGTATCACAGAGGAGGCCCATGAAGAGATTCACAGGCCAGAGAACACAGGAGGGGGCAGAGCTTCCGGGCCCTCTCTGGGCACCACTCTCCAGGGGCCTCCAGGAACTCAGCTTTCTAGWAGCTCCCTGGACCTCATCCTTCTGAATCCACGCAGAGACTTTGTTGCCTATGCATGATCGATTYGATCACTGGCCAATGGTGACCAGTTTCACCGTCAGCCCTCTCCCTTCCCTGGAYGTTGGGGTGAAACTGAGAGTCCTTGTAATCCCACCTCGGTCTTTCTGGGGACCAGCCCCACTCCAGAAGCCACCCAGGGGCTGGCAGCCATTAGTCAACTCATCAGCATAGAAAAAAGACACTTAGCACTTTGAAGATTCCAAAGAAGTGGTTCTGCTGACTCCAAAGTCCGTGTCAATGTAGGAGTTGACAAACTAGTGAGCACAGGCAACAAAACCAGAATCGGACAAATAGAATCACATCAAACTTAAAATGGTGTGTGCACCCATGGGCACCAGCCAYGGGGGGAAAAGGCCACCCACCTACATGGGAGAAAATATTGGCAAATCATTTATCTGATAAGGGGWATAAAGAACTACAACGGAACAACAAAAAGAACCCCAAAACTCGGGCAAAGGTCTGCAGTAGAGGTTTCTCTAAGGATGCTATACAAATGGCTCACAGGCTTAAGAATCCATGCTCAGCATCMCTCATCAGAGAAATGCAGATCAAAACTGTGATGAGCTAGGTTTGCGCTCGCTTCTGTTAGAAGGGCTGCTAGGAATGTATGTATCCTTGTGCACTAAAGTGGGAGAACTGCTGTRGAGAGCAGTATGGCAGCTCCTCAAAACAGTAAATCTAGAACGATCTGCTTTCAGATAGCAGCACTATCTGAAAGTGGTTCTTGAGTACCTAAAAGAATTCCAAGCAGGGCRTTCAAGAGAGATCTGCACACCCCGGGAAACAGTGCTGCTAGGAAGCACTATTGGCAAACGCGGAAGCAGGCCAGCCATCCACCAGCGGAGAGCTGGGTGGCCAAATGTGGCGGGCACACACACGGACACTCAGCCTTAAAAAGGGAGGAATTCCTGACACATGAAGCAACACAGACGAACCTTAAGGAGACTTTGCTAAGTGAAATAAACCAGTCCCCAGAAGACAAACACTGTGAGGTTCCCTTGTGAGCTATCCAGAGAAGTCGAAATCAGAGACAGAAAATAGATAAGGTGCTAACAGGCACCAGGGGCTTAGAGAAGGGAAGGATGAGGAGCTGCTGCTGAGAGGGCACAGAGCTTCAAATTCATAAGGCAAAAAAAGTTCTGCTTTAGCCATGTAAATATACTTAGAACTGCAGAACTGTACACCTCACATAGTTATGATGGTGAATTTTATCTTCTGTGCTTTTTACCAGAAACTACTGTGGGTCCAGCATATTTCCAAACCCTTGGGATATAATGAGTAACAAAAATTCCCCACTAGCAGTCTGGGGCTGGGTCGCGGGGTGTGAAGACTTAAGATGTAAACAAATACAAAAGATCATTTTMAGTAACTTTAAGGGCTTTGAAGAAAACATAGCCTGGACTGGACTAGTATTTGGCAAACTTTTTCTCTAAAGACCAAAATGGTGCATGTTCTCAGCCTTGCAAGCCCAAACCGCTCAGCTCTGCTCTTACAGTGTGAATGCCACCAGATCCTTCTCACCCAAACAGTCATTTCTGTGTTCCAATAAAACTTTATTGACAGGAACAGTCAGTGGGACACGTCTGGTGGGTAACTTGCTGACCCTGCAGCTGGGGGGTGGGATGCTTTAGATAAAATCTCTTTGAGATAACTCAGAACTTGAGTCATGAGAAAGTCAGCCAGGGAGGATGAGAGAGTATTGCAGGAGGAGGAAAGAGAAGCCGAAGAAGCTGGAACAAGCTTGGTGTTCAAAGGTCAGAAAGGCCAAAGGCAAAGCAAAAGTCAGGTAGGCAGGAGCCTCCGTCTTGTTAACCAATCAATCATCAACTCCTAGATGATTGACAGTGTGTCTCACGGCCTCTTCCCTGTGCCTGGCCTCTGGTCTTGTCTAGGGCAGGTGCCTGAGATATGTGTCAGTGACAGTTCCTTAGGGTAGTATGTGTGTCCACACGGAATCCACGTGGGTTATACCAGCGTGGTCTGGGGGCTGATTCCAGTTCATGCTCATTACTGGTCTACATAGCGAGGCAGGAAATGGAGATTGCATACTGGGGAACTTGTATCAGTGACATTGCCACAAGGTGCGAGAAGACAGTTGACTGTATTGAAACTGTGCTGTAACGCAGGAGAAGTTTTAAAACCTGGCTCTTTCTGAGTCTGGCTCTTTCTGAGTCTGGTTCTTTCTGAGTCTGACCCCTGGGCTAGTCCTCTCAAGTCACCTGTCAGTATACCACCTTCCCACTGGACGGAATTGGAATCATGCCACTCACGATCCCTTGGCGAGGTGGCTTCTGTTGATTTTACATACAATACACATTCTATCCTTCTTCCAAGAGAGGAGCAGATTTGTCTCTTCCCAAGATACTCACCAGAGCCGTTGGGCCAGAAGACGCAGAGAACTCTTCAGTGATACCTGTGGTCACGATGTTGTCTTCTATAGCCGGAGTAGCTGAGTCGTCTTTTGCACCTGGGGTCACAAGGTCATCTTCTAGCTGCCCTGTGATGGCTGAAGACAAATGGAGTTAGGGTTTAAGACAGAAACAGTGTGGGCCGACCTGACCAGCCAGCTGCAGCCAGATGATTTTGCTTCCCATTTCTTGCGGGGCTTTTATTTAATTTTGGTCTTTTTCTGGCATATCACAGTGCCAGGAACCAAACTATTGTCCTTGCAGGACCTGGGGCACACACAGWGGCCTGGTTGTCTCCACTCATGGAAACAGAAAGAGATGAAGCAGCCAGCCTTTTCCCCGGATGCCACCGAGATGGGTTGTACACAGGTGTGAACACCCTTCCCAAAGGAAGCAGGTTCTTCCTGGCACTGATTCCTATGATGAGTCAATGCATTCAGATGAGTAGAATATCATTTAGACCTGGAAAAKATTCTTAACAGAAGCACCTGGAAACATCTCTAAACCTGCCTAATTCCAGGATCCAGGCAAACCTACTGAATCACAATGTCCAAAATCAGGGTCTCTGTCTTTAAAATCAAGCTCTCGGGGCTGGAATGGAGCTCAGTGGGAGAGTACTTAAGTAAACAAATGGATAAATAGATAAAGTCCTCTCTCCATTTAGTTTTGAGACTGCTGTGCGCTTGACAAGGACCATGGGCTCTAGTACAGACCTAATAGACACAGTTCAACTTGTTCGTTCACTGCTTGCTGGAGGGCTGTAATGTATTCAAGGGCATCAAGACACCAATACAACTCTTAGTGCCAATAAATAAGCAAATTAGGGCTCACTGCCCCACTCGGCCTTTTCTGTGCCAACAAGGGGATGAATGACTGGGAGAGGGGTTTCCAGTGGAGTGAGGCGCTGGTGGAGAACAGGGCGAATCCCACAGTGGGGAGCGCTTTGGTTCAATCACATCCCCCCAGGCTTCATGTATTGGAAAACTAATCCCCAAATTCATCTGTTGATGGCATTTGAAAGTGTGGCCTTTAAGAGGTCATTAGATGAGATGATCAGAGTAGGCCCCTTAGGATGGGATTGGTGGCTAAAGGAGAAGAGGAAGAGAGAGCTGAACTGTCCCAGTAGCTGTCTTATCATGTGATACCCTTCTCCGTGTTATAATGCAGCAAGATGGCCCCTACCAGATGCTCTTGCACTGCCCAGCCAGAACCGTAAGCCAAATAAATGTTTATTCTTTTTTTTTTTTTTGAAGGGGGTGGGACTAGGGATTGACTTCAGGGGCACTCAACCACTGAGTCACATCCCCAGCCCTATTTTGTATTTTATTTAGAGACAGGGCTCACTGAGTCACTTAGCACCTCGCTCTTGCTGAGGCTGGCTTTGAACTCGTGATCCTCCTGCCTCAGCCTCCTGAGCTTCTGGGATTACAGGCATGTGCCACCATGCCCAGCATGTCTAGTCTTTATAAACTCCCTAGTATCAGGTATTTTAYTATAGCAACAGAAAATGGGCWCAGACAGGAGAGAATAGAACATAGCAGTGTCCTCTTCCACCTCTGTTGCAATGATCCAGAACTAGTCATGAYTGTGCCCAAGCATCATCTCTGAACCCACCAGATAATCCTTTTCATGAGTTAAAAATCTGACTCACAGGCCATGGGTTTCCTCTCCAGACTGGAGTGGTTCTAGAAATTCCATGACTAAATACAGTTGCAAAATAAGCAAGCACGTGCATCCCGGGAAGGGTGCTTGGAGACCTCTTTGTGTAATTAAAGAGCAGATGTTCATCTGTAGCTAGGCAGTGCTCAAATTAGCAATCCATTCCTTGCCTACGGAGCCTTATTTTCCCTCTGTTTAGACAACCCAGCCAGAAGCACAGCTAATAAATATTTGATCATAAGTTCTCTGCAGATGCCTGGAGGGAGGAGGCCCCCAGAGGAAACCCGCTCGCTTCCTGAGCCTCCCGTCTGCATCTCAAGTCCTTATCCAGCTGCGGATCAATGGCTTTGGGTGGACTTAAGCACACGCATTCATTTCTCTATCTTAGGAATGGGGAAAAGGCTCCGAACTGAATAACTCAGGTCGTGCAAATGGGTCGCCTCTTCTGCTGGTCATTTACTGGGCTGGGGGGATGGTTATAGTGGGTCCCACAGGATTTATGAGTCTGTAGAGTGGGCAAATATTTACTGAATTTATTAAGCTCAACGGGAATATTCTTTTGCCAGGCAAGTGTCCTTATTAAAAAAACTAAGCATCCTGTTTTCTTCCCTCCTCTGTTTTGAACAGAGTTAACAAATCATCCACTTAAAAAAATGTCTTTTGGATCTGTTCAGCAAAATCCCTTGCTACGTGGCGTCTGTAACTTAAAACAAAACAACCCTTGCTTAAATGAAAAAAAGAAAAAAAAGAGTACTGAATGAATTTGATTTGAATTCTTTCATAGAGAGCTCAGTTCAATGAAAGCGTAACTTGATAAAAATTCCCTCTTGTTCTTTGCTAGCCCTGGCCCTCAGAGCCAAACACCCAAATCGCTCTGAATGGACAAAGGATGTTTTATGAATGACAGTCAGGATTCAGAAGCAGGTCCTTTGTCCCATGGCCTCTGCTTTCTTTCTGCACCATGGGAAAGTTGATCTTTACAAGAGTTCTCAATCGTTCCTCTTATTATTTTGGCCAAAGGCTTTCCTGGGCGAAGAGTTGCTCTAGGCCTGCTGCGGAGTTTCCAGCCAGCGTTTGACGTCCTGTCCCCCTGTCCTCCTGTCCCCCTGTCCTCCTGTCCCCCTGTCCTCCTGAAGCCACGTATTGATGTCTCCTTGCTCATGTGTCCTTCTAAGACACATATGCAAGCTCACAAGCACAGGGCACATGCACATACTCACACACCACTGTTCACACAGGTGATACCCACAGCCAGGTGCACAGAGAGTTCTAGAGCCTTGGACCCTCCTAGGKACCTTCAAACCTCTTCTTGCCACACCCAACCTCGGCCAGCATGGGGAATCAGTGGAAGTTTCCAAATCGGGCAGGAACCTTTTATTACCTGGACAATTTTCTGTTGTTATTCTTTAAAAACCGGGGCCATGATTTATACGACKAAGGAGATTGGACAAATCAACTTAAGGTTCTTCATTTTGAAAATAAAGAACYGAAAGGGTTTATTTGTATCTAAGTGCTAATTATAAATGATTTTTATCTTTGTAGTAAAGTCCAACATCTCACCAGGTGTAGTAGAGCATGCCTGTAATCCCAGGAGCTTGGGAGGCTGAGGCAGGAGGATCAAGAATTCAAAATCAGCCCCAGCAACTTAGCAAGGCCCTAAATAACTCAGTGAGACCCTGTATCTAAATTAAAAAAAAAAAAATACAAAAGGGCTGAGGATGTGGCTCAGTGGTTAAGTGCCCCAGGGTTTAGTCCCCAGTAGCAAAAAAAAAAAAAAAAAAAAGTCCAACATCTCTATAGAGATGATTCAAGTTTACACATAGCATTTCTTAAATTATATTTTAGAATTTAGATACAACGTTGTCAGGATAGTGCTGGAATTATAATACTCCCAAATTCTTAATCAAAATCTTTTGAATATATGGTTAATCCTTTGGTTTTATTTGCCTCCCTTTGGTTTGTGGTGATGCCTGTCTCTAGCTATCTGGTTATTACCCTTTGAGAATGTCTTCTTTGTGGCCTTTTTTCTTTTATGGTATTATTCATCTTTTTTTGTAGCAGCTAGTGCTAATCAGACCTTAAGAATACACTCTTTGGACTAGACGCCACAGACTGCCTTTTCGCTGGTTGGCATTTGCCTCTTTTGCAAATGGCAAGCTCTGTTGGTACTCATCATCATCATCTTTTTTTTTTCTGTTTATTTTCTCCCTTTGAAGCCATGCTCCCAAATGCTTCCTCTAGAGTACGTAAATGTCCACCTGTGCTTTCCCCAAGGTTTTGTTCTTACATTGAGTATCTACATTTTTCTTGTGTTTATTTTGCAGTCTCATGTAAGATGGGAACACAGGTTCCAGAGTCACAGAATGACGTTTCGGTCAATGACAATACAACCATGTCCCAGAAGATTAAAATGAAGCTGGACATTTTTTTCTTTTTAGTTATTTATTTGTACTGAGGATCTAGCACTCGGGTGTTTAACCACTAAGCCCTTTTTATTTTCGTTTTGAGACAGGGTCTCACTAAGTTCTAGGGCCTTGCTAAGTTACTGAGGCTGGCCTGAAACTTGCAATCCTCCTGCTTCAGCTTCCTGAGTCGCTGGGATTATAGACGCGTACCACCATGCCCAGATGGAAAATTCTATCACCTAGTGACATTACGGTTGTCACAATGTCATAGCACCACACATTCTAGTGTGTGCAAACCTACTGCACTGCCAGTTGGAGAAAAGTGTAACTAGCACACCCAAGTGTCTGAAGCACGTAATCCTTGCTCATGACAATAAACAGCCACATGGCTGGCCTGGGTGTCTAGTATGCTTTAGGTCACATCTTAGTGTGTACCCCTACTGCTTAAAGGCCACCACGGGCCACTTCTCCTGATGGCATCCAAAGACCATGTCAAGTGATTGACCTCTTCCACCCAAGTTCATGTCCGTGTCCTCGGTGACAGTCGCATCACAACAAAATCGCCTAACAGTGATCTGAGTGTGTCCCTGTCCTGAGGTGGCACTTCACTGTAATCTGACTCCCTGGCAAAAGGTGAGAGTTATTCTGACAAATTTTTTTACCCATGGCTTCCAAACACCCAGCTCTCCCTGAGACAAGCTTCTTCCAGTGTCTGTGTCATAGTCACAGGAGAGACTGCCCAGCACGAGGGCCAGCTCTGATGGCCTGCCCACTGCCCGCTCCTCCYGCCCCCACACTGGCTCCTCTTGCTGTCTCGACAAACGGATTCCTAAATCTGTGCTCCCTTCSACAAGCTCCCCGCCCTTCCTCCATCAGCTGGTAGCTCCCAGTGGAGTGGGTGCCCAGGRGGAGCTAGAATCAGTGTGGGAAGAGAGGGGGCGGGGGCTCCTCACCCAGAGGTGCATGCAGGTGTCCCAGGCTGGAAGACACAACACCTGGCCACCCCCTCACTTCTGTTGGCCACTGCAGGGTTT